CCACCTACCTTATCTAGATAGACCTGCAGAGATAATACTATGCACAAAAACAAGACAAAGCAAAACAAAGAAACAAAAGAAAACAAAACAACAACAACAAAAACTAATGGGGGGCGGAGAAAAGTCTGTAAATAGTTCAAGCTCTGTTTGTTGACTGTAGGAGTGTTTTCTGGTCGAGTCTGATGGGGTGCCACGTCCTGGCCCCACAGTCTATTTTTTATATTCCTTGGGGACTTCATTGCTCTGCTCCCCTTGCTGTTCTGTTGCACGCCCTTAGTGTTTTGCCTTGGTGTGGTGGGGTCAGATTGGGCACAATTCCTACATTGTGTCTCCAGTGTTGTCCCCTGTAGGGCTATGGGTCAGTGAGGGATGTCGTGTCTTCTAGTGCGGCCGGCCATATGGTCCTCTTTGTGCATCGGCTGCTCTGAGCAGGGATTTCGTCCTCATGCCTTGGTGGGCCAGGATGTGCTCCACTCTCTCTTCTTCCCCCTTCATTTGCTCCCGTGTGCTCTGATCAGACATGTCTCTCTCCCTAAGCTGTAGCTTCAGTGCTGTCCTCTGAAGTAAATTATTCGTGGAGCGGGGTAGGTGGCTGTCCACGTAGTTGGGATTGGGACCATAGTTGGGATTGGAAGCGGTCACTCAGAGCTTTCTACTGGTTTCCTGCTTCATGCTGGTATGGTGCATTCACATCTTGGAGCACCTGGTTGAAGTCTGGGCCCTCTTTGCCTGTGGAGATATAAACAATACGGCTGGGTTAGTGTCCTATTCCCCTGCTACCCAGGTCTTTTCTTTTTTCTATTTTCTCTCTCCTTTTTAGTTGGCTATCATATGTATCCTTGGATTTAGTCTGGCCCCTGCCATATTACCTGGATCTCACCCCAGGAATGTTTGTATACAGTACCTTTTTCCCTATGCCCCTTTTGCATTTTTTTTTTTAAGCTTACCTCAGCGTACTCAAGTTGTACTTGTCCTTTTGTGCTTAGCTTACTTTGCTTAGCATAATTTCCTCCAGTTCTTCCCATGTGGCAATGTGCTTCATCCGTTCATCACTTTTTAGCAATGCATAGTACTCCATGTATGTATGTATGATAGTTTTTTAATCCATTTGTCTGTTGATGGAAATTTGGGTTGTTTCCAACTCCTTGCGATTGTGAACTGTG